TTGTTCGAATTTATTATTGTTTGATAATAAATTTTCTCTTTTATATAACCCGAAATTGCCTTTGCATTTATAACACTATGAAACCATTTAGAAGCTGTATCCTCCTGTGTGAAATCCACATTTTAAAGACAGGCAAGCCCAGCAAAGCTCTCTGTTGTTTCCAGCTGTGAAGAGTTAACTGGGTGCTGATCAGGCCGGCCCTGCTCCAGCCTGGCCTGCACCGAGCCGGGCTCCGCCAGGCCCCGGGAGCGGCTCTGGGCTGGGCCAGGCCCCTTCACCACGGCCCGCGCGGCCCCAGCGGCTGCCGGGCACAGGGAGGGGAAGCCATCGGCCCGCAGCTGGAATTGAAGGAAGCAGGGCCCTGGGACCAGCCATGTGGGCAGAACAGCCACGACTGTTCTGGCTGGGCCCCCTGAGATCTTGGCACAGCCCCAGCGATGCCTGAAATCCATTACTGTGACTGCTTCGGCCACTGCCCGGCAGAAACCATCATGAGCATCTGCAGGTCTGGGTGAGATATTAACTCTTTCTGTGTACAGATGAGACCTGCAGACCTCAATCCTCCCCTTGGATGAGAGGAAAGGACAGAGTGGGAGACTAATGCCACAAGTATGGTAGGCTACACCTGTCTTCAAATGTCATTGAATTAGAGAAAAACTCTCTCCAGGGCAAATTATGCAACAATTTGCTGCACAATCCATCAGTCTTAATTACAATGAGTGGTAGATCTTAATGACAATCTGATTACAGCAAATCAACCTTGTGTGAGCGGCAAGAATTTGCTTGTAAACAGAAGAATATGTCCCACTCAAGAATGAACAAAATCTGCCTTTACTTGGAAGAAAGTAGGCATGGAGCAATGCAGTATCTGGGTTTTATCCAGTGGTAAATGGGGAAAGAAGCTGTAACAGCTCACCTGTTTTACAGAACACAAGTACTGATACAGCCAATAGTGCACCCACACTGAAGGGATCTTCAGAACATTGCTTTATTTCTTAACAAGGAATGGACAGCAAAATGCTGGCATTTATCTGAACTGAAAGCCATGCTCCTCTTCTGTTTCTCCTTAAGCACACTGTTCTCTGCAGACTCCACTGTGCAGCTCATCAATCCTCTCTTGGCCAACAGCTAAATGGCACAAGTACCAGAACACAGGTGCCAGCATCATCACCTCAGCATTATTCCGGCACTGCTTTGATGGTGCACAGGAGCACAGAATGGCTTGGCTTGGAAGGGACATTTAAAGGCCATCTAGTCCAGTGAACAGGGACACCTTTAGATCAGGTTGCTCAGAGCATGAGCTTGAATGTCAGCAGGGATGGATGTCCACCTCTCTGGGCAACCTGTGCCAGGGTTTCAAAACCCACAGTGTAAAAAACTTCTTTATGGCTAGTCTGAATCTACCATTTTTTAGACTGATAACATTCCCGCTCAGTCTTGTCACAACAGGCCCTACTAAAAATTCTGTCCTGTCTTTTTGTCAAGACCCCTTAAAGTACTGAAAGGTAGCGATCAGGTCTCCATGGAGCCTTCTCTCTTCTGGGCTCAACACCCCCAGCTATCCCAGCCTGTCTCCAAAGCAGAGGGGCTCCAGCCCTCAGAGCATTTTGTCCCTCCTCTGGACCAGCTCCAACAGGACCATGTCCTTCCTGTGCTGGGCCCCCAGAGGTGGATGCAGTACTCCAGGTGGGCTCACACCAGAGCAGAGGAGTGGTGGAATCACCTCCTTCAAGCTGCTGGGCACCCTCATTTGGAGGCACATGGCTGGCTCATGTCCAGCCTCTCACCTTGCAGCAGCCACAAGTCCTTCTCGGCAGGGCTGCTCTCCATCCCTTCATCCCCCAGCCTGTGAGATCAGCTGGGCTGGGACCCTGTCATAGCCCTTGACAGAGCTGCTGGGCAGGATGAGCTCCCTGGTGAAGGAGGCAGATCCCACTCCCCACACAATTCCACCCTGGCCATGAGGTCACAGCAGCCTGTGGGGTGACAGCAGGCTGAGGTGACAGCAGGCTCTGAGGTCACAGAGGTTCCAGAGCCCCGTGGTTGCACAGCACCCCAAGGACCGAGCAGTCAGTCCTTGACCACGACTGTTGTGGCAGCAGCAGCGGCAGCGGCAGCAGTGGTGCTGACATTGGGACAGCGGTGTCAGGACAGTGGTGGCAGCAAGAGCTGCAGGACTGGCAGTGGGCAAGGCACCATGGCCTTTGCTCTGCACCTCCTCCTCCTGCTCCTCCTGGCAGTAGCCCTGCCTGACAGGGCTGCCCAGGCTGCTCCATGGTGAGCAGGGCAAGCAGGTGAGCCGGCGGCCTCGGTCCCCTTTCCCAGGACAGTCCTCTCTTCTCCCTGGGAAGCATTGAGGATGGTTTTCCCCAAGGCTTTAGGGAGGGTTTCCTCTATGGGAGGGAGAGAATCCTCAGTGGCCCTGGGCAGGTCCTGCTGCCCCTCCAGAGATGTTGCATGGGGCCTGCAAAGTGGGTGGAGAGTGACCAGAGCCAGCCCAGAGCTCCCCAGGCCCCTCTACAGCTTTGACCATGTCCATTGACATCTGGCTCCCACAGCCTTACCTGACCCACCTTGCAGTGCCCAGTTCCCTAAGGCAGAAGGGGGTCCCAGCACACCATGGAATGGTTCTGATCTGTGGTCCCTTCCAGATGAGGGTGGTAGGAAGGCTTCTCAGGCAGCTTGGCTTCATGAAGATTTTCTGCCTCTGGAGCCCCATGCAGGTATGTTCTCACTGTCCCAACAAGGAATAATCATTGACAACCTGGCAGGAACCAGGCAGGAACCAGGTGACAGAAGCTTCTGTGGCTGCTGAGTTACAGGTGTGTCTGCAGTGAGGACGTTTCAAGCTCCTTTTCTGGTTGCTGCACACAACCCCAGCTCCCATTGCAGGGGTGAGTGGTGTGTCCCTGCTGATCCCACAGGCTGAGCCCTGGTTCTGTGGGATCCATTCATCTGAAATGGAAATACTTTCTGTTAAGGTCCTCCTAGAGGGAGGAACAAACCCACAGGAAACAAGAGGCTGAGTGTACTGGAGAGACGCCATGGTGGGTCCATGTCCCTCAGCCTTCTCCTGAGACTCAGCAGCCGGGGGCTTTCTCTGCACATCTGGACACGCCATGCTGCAGGAAGGGAGGCCATGCCAGGCACAGTCCCAGGAGGTAATTGCTGTGTCCCTGGGCCTGAGCCCTGCTGAGGCTTGAGCTGCCATCTCTGTTGCTTGGCAGTGTGAGCATAGTGCAGAGGAATTATCCTGAACAGGCTCGGGGCACTCAGCTACTGAGCAGTCCTGCTGGGGTCCCTCCATGAGAGACACGTCCCAAAACCTGGCAGCGGCTGCAAGGAATGCCCATGGTGGGGAAAGGGCTGAGGGGGAGGGTAAAACTCCAGTGTACCCTGAGAGGGCCTGGCTCTGTCCCCTTGGGCTGAAAGAGCTGTCCCAGCTGAAGGACGGAGGGCAGGAGAGAGGGCAGGAGGCAGCTCTGCGGTTTGGCCCAGAGCTTAAAGGTTTCCACTGTGGCAGGGAGAGCCCCTGGGCCCTGGGCTGGTTCCACTGCCTCACCAAGGATGTTGCACGGGGCCTGCAAAGAAGGTAGAGAGTGACCAGAGCCAGCCCAGAGCTCCCCAATCCCCTCTGCAGCTTTGGCCATGTCCATTGACATCTGGCTCCCACAGCCTTACCTGACCCACCTTGCAGTGCCCAGTTCCCTAAGGCAGAAGAGGGTCCCAGCACACCAAACTGTGCTCCTTTCTAGACAAGGGTGGTAGGAAGGCTTCTCAGGCAGCTTGGCTTCATGAAGATTTTCTGCCTCTGGAGCCCCATGCAGGTATGTTCTCACTGTCCCAACAAGGAATAATCATTGACAACCTGGCAGGAACCAGGTGACAGAAGCTTCTGTGGCTGCTGAGTTACAGGTGTGTCTGCAGCAAGGACATTTCAAGCTCCTTTTCTGGTTGCTGCACACAACCCCAGCTCCCATCACAGGGGTGAGTGGTGTGTCCCTGCTGAGCCCTCAGGCCCTCACAGGCTGAGCCCTGGTTCTGTGGGATCCATTCATCTGAAAATGAAATTTGATCCATTCATCTGAAATGGAAATACTTTCTGCTAAGGTCCTCCTAGAGGGAAGAACAAACCTACAGAGGATAGTAAGTCCTTGGAGACACCCAAACTCATGGATAAGATGTTGAGTGAACTGGAGAGACGTCATAGTGAGTCCATGTCCCTCAGCCTTCCCCTGAGACGCAGCAGCCGGGGGCTTTCTCTGCACATCTGGACATGCCATGCCCAGCACAGCAGGAAGGGATCCATGTCAGCTTCGCTGCCCCACTGCTGCTTTCACAGCCTGTAGGGCTGTTTCCCAGCCTGGCCTGGCTGCAGCTTCTCCCCAGCCTCTGCAGGAAGGCATCTGGCATCAGCTGACAGGATTCCCAAACTGCACCATGGGCCATGCACACCCTGAGATCCCTTGCAATTTCCCGGTCTTGGGCTAGATCAGGTGTAGGGGCTGTTTGGAGGAGGGAGGGCCCTGGCCAGCCCAAATAACCTGGCCTTTCTCCTTATCCTTATCCATGACTTTGACAAATATTGCACTTGAACATGCCACCTCCTCAGTGTGGAATGGTTCTATCTGATCCAGCTGTGGCTCTTCCTTTCTGCAGAGATGAACCCAAAGGCTGTGCTGTAGGTGCCATTTCCTGGAGGAAGCAGTGGCTCATGGACAGCCTCTGCTGCAGGAAGGGAGGCCATGCCAGGCACAGTCCCAGGAGGTAATTGCTGGGCCTCTGGGCCTGAGCCCTGCTGAGGCTTGAGCTGTACATCTCTGCTGCTTGGCAGTGCCTGCCTTTCAGGGATTTTGCACAGAGCATGGAAAAGGTGTTGAGAGAGTCCAGAGCCAGTCCAGAGCTTTCCTCAGGCCCCTCTGCATCTTTGTCCATGTCCATTGACATCTGGCTCCCATGGCCTTACCTGACCCCCTTGCAGTGCCCAGTTCCCTAAGGCAGAAGGGGATCCCAGCACACCATGGAATGGTTCTAATCTGTGCTCCCTTCCAGACTGGGATCGTGACATGGAGCATCTGGAAGTGCTGGTAGATGGTGGTTTGAAGACCTTGCCAGATGCTGGAGGCAAGTTCTCAATGTCCCTTTCTCCACAGAATAATCAGTGTCAAGGTGACAAGAGCTCACTCACGTGTCATTTCCCTTAAGAGTCTGAAGGTTGATGGATTCTGCAAACCTTGCCCTGCTCCCTTCTGGAGCTCTGAGTGCTCCCACAGCATTGCTGTCCGTGGGAGGAAGGAGCATTTAGCTGTCAATCTTCTTTCCGTGTGCAATGCCAGTGTCTCCTTCTGTGTGCTCTGTGCAGCCACAGAGAAGATCAGAGAGGGAAGGGTCAGTCCCAGGGCTGTGCCCCAGGGCTGTGCCATGTGTGGCTTCTTTCTGGCCCCAGGGAACCTGAGATGCTCCAGCTGCCACTGCCAAGTCCTGGCCCTGCCTGGGGCTCAGTTCAGAGCTGCTGGCAGCTCCAGGGAGTCCTTTCTCCCCTGACTTCCATGCAAGGGGCTCCTTCCATCCCAGTGTGGGGCCACTGCAGGCACGTGGTCCCCCTGCTCCTGCTCCTGAGTGTAAGGCAGAGATGAGGGAATGCCTTGGAGGGCAGCAGTCACCCAGGTGCACTCACTACCACTCCAGCCTGTAGAAGAATCTTCAGCAGTTTCACGGGAGCTGTTCTGTCCTGAATTTCTTTGCAGATGAACCTGATGATGAAGATGATCTGGATTCCCCGTCCATATCAGTTACTGAGCCTGATAATGAGGAAGATTCTGAGAGTAGGTGAAGGCCTTTCCCCCTGGGAGAGCTGCCAGCTCAGAGCCCAAGGCTTGGCCAGGGCAGCATCACTGCAGGTGCCAGGACAGAGCCATGCACGTGTGTGCCCTCGCCCTGCGTGATCCTCTCACTGCTCCTATGGCTCAGTGCTGCCTGTGCAGCAGAGATGAGAGAAGCTTCTGTGGCTGTTGAACTACAGGTGTGTCTGCAGCAAGGATTGTCCCAGATCCTGAGCTAAATTCTGCAAGCAAGCCCAGCTCCCATCACTGGGGTGTGTGGTGCATCCCTGCTGACCCCACAGGCTGAGCACTGGTTCTGTGGGATCCATTCCTGGGAAATGGAAATACTTTATATTTTGGTCCCCTGGGAAAGAAGAACAAACCTATAGGAGATAGTAATGTAGCAATAGGGGAACTCAAATATCTGGACATAATCCTGAATGACCTGGAGGGACGCTGTGGTGGGTCCATGTCCCTCAGCCTTCTCCTGAGACTCAGCAGCCAGGGGCTTTCTCTGCACATCTGGACACACCGTGCCTGGCACAGCAGGAAGGGATCCTTGGCAGCTTTGCTACCCCACTGCTGCTTTCACAGCCTGTAGGGCTGTTTCCCAGCCTGGCCTGGCTGCAGCTTCTCCCCAGCCTCTGCAGGAAGGCATCTGGCATCAGCTGACAGGGAGCCCAAACTGCACCATGGGCCACGCACACCTTGAGATCCCCTGAAATTTCCGGTCTCAGGCTAGTTCAGGTTTAGGGTCTGTTTGGAAGAGGGGTGGCCCTGGAGGATTTCCAAAACCCTGGCATTTTCCTGATCCTTATCCATGACTTTGACAAGTATTGCCCGGAGAAGACCAGCACAGCACAGAGAAATTGTGCCATTCAAGCTCAGGGGGTTGAGCAGTCTTGTGCCAAGGCGTGGCAAGGTGCCTGCAGGCCCCAGCTCTGGGGGAAGCAGAGAATGTCCTGGCCTTATCCAGCGTGCTGCCAGCTCAGCAATGGAGCACAGCACGGCTCACACTGCCCATTGCTCCCACAGATGCAGCTGGCACCACAGCACATGCTCAGGGAAAGCATGAGAAGAGTTTTCTACCAGGGAACACAAGGTTTGATTAAGTTAATGGCCATTGTGGCTGGTGGAGGACTTTTCCTGATGATGTGCTGTACCGGAATCTGGTATTGCTGGAAGAGAAAATGGTGAGTGTTTTGTGATCTCTGCCTCAAACAGCTTCTTGAAAGGCTGCTCATAGTCAGGAAACATTCCCAGTGAGGCTGCTGTGGACTTGTGGCTAGTCCTTGGTAGCCCAAATAACTCTGCTGAGAATTCTGCTGCTGCCCAGGGCTTTAATTGGCCTCTTAATTGCTGGGCCTTGTTCTGGGGAGCCCGCTGGGGGCCTTGTTCTGGGGAGCCCGCTGGGGCTGCAGCCAGTGCTGGCTGCCACTGAGGCTGCCTGGCCAAGAGCAGCCCCAGGAGCAGCAGGCAGAGGCAAAGCAAGGTGGGCAGGAGAAAGAGCAGGGATAAGATTGTCCTTGACAGGCCGAGGTGCTCTGGGGCCTGCTCCTGGCCAGGGACCCTGCCCAGAGCCATCTCCTGCTTGCCGGGGCCTTGAGGGGCAGCTGTCCAGTTGGGCCAAGCTGTGCCAGCAGCTCCAGCCGTGCTGGGGAGCCTTGGCCGCTCTGGGCCCTGCTATGCAGAAGGGTCCCTGTGTTCCAGCAGCAGCTGAGGGCCTCAGCCACCTCCTCTCTCTACAGGAGCACCTCTGCAGCTTCAGAAGAGCAGCCAAAGATTTTAGTCTCTGAGAAGCTGACCTGTCATCCCCGCTCTTCACATCTCTCCCCATCTGCTCTGCTGTGGCTGCATCCCCGTCTTGAGGGCATCCCAAGACTTGGACCTCCCAAGCGAGACTCTCTGCCCCTGAGCCCCCTGGCCCTGGTCCCTGGCCAGGAGTGAAATTGGGAACCCCATGTGCACCAGAGCAGGGGTTGGCCCATGTTTTTTGTTCAAATAAAGAGATGGAGATTTCACCTCAGTGTCTGGCTGGTACCACCAGCAAAGCCCACACAGCACCAGCCCTGTCTGAGCTCCATGTCCAGGAGCAGCCGGGGGTGTCCACAGTGTGGGCAGGCAGGAGCCAGGCAGGGGCTGCTGTGACCAGCAGTGGGGCACTGAGGGGCTGGGGGAGCCCATGCTGAGCGTCCCTGGGCTGTGAGGGCACATTTCCTTCAGTGGCATCACCTGGGCCTGCACCTCATGAGGCACCCAGGGCTAATTTG